GCACTGTCCAGAGTGCAGGCCAGCCTAATCCCTTTGCTGTTAAAAAGAGACCGCAGAGCAAATATTTGCACTCAGTGAAGTCTCTCTTACAACAATGGAGGCTTTTCAGCTCACAATTAAGATGTGATTCAGTCTTCCTGAAGTGGAGTGAACCATCTCCCTCCAGCTTCAGCAGCCCCCAGACCAGTCCCATCTCCCACTCACTATAGAAGAGTACAGTAGCTGTGGACCCTATAGGATATTGGCAGCCCTCAGCCAGAGGAGAGGATCCCCTGCTGAGCAGGAAGCTTCTTCAGGCAAGGGCTATCATCTCCTGCATTATTTGAGATTTCATATACACCATTCAGTCCTTGGAGCTGCAGATGTATTTTGCAGGATGCACTGCCTGTAAGTCAGTTCAGTGCTGCCTGTCTGACTCTGCAAACAGGCGGCTCCAGCACCTCTGCAGCTGCCCAGTGCTTCCTAATCTGTCAGAGAAGAAGCTGATTCCAGGTGTGGCTCACAATGGATTGGGAGACACAAAACTGCCAGAAATCACAGCCAGTCATCTGCTTTACCTCAGTAGCCTCTGACCATTAGCAAAGCCACTGGGAAGAGAAAGGGAGACTCAGGAAAAAAACACAGGCTGAGGAGAAGGAAGGTCATGGAGCCATGCAGCAAAATCAGTTCCTTCCTCTGGACTCAGGGATGCAGCTTCTCCTTAATGGTTTGGCAGGGTCTTATTATTGCCTGAACTGCTCTGGATGCCCTTCACTGTGGGAGGCAGTGATCGGGGGCAGAGGGTAGGGTTGTGCACCTCCTCCCTGTGCTGACGTGACTTGGGGTGGGGGGGACACAGCAAGCAGGGGCACTCAGGGGCTATCCTGGGAGACAGCCCTTGCTCAGTTTGTGAGCCATAGGGGTCATGGATTTGAGAAATTTAATTTCAAGCTTTTTCATCCTTCCAAATTAAAAAAATGATGGGGAAAAGGCTTTGGGTTTTTTTTTTAACCTCCTCCCCCTCCAACCCCACCTCTTGAGGAAGTGACTAGGATTGCAGAAAGGAATTGCAATGTAATGAGAAGTTTAATCCTTCTTAAAGGGAAACCAGTTCACAGAGGATGCAAGCTCAGTGGGTTGGGGAACTGAGAGCTTGAGGATCCCCAAAGGGGCTTTGAGCTGCACTGAGCCCCAGCAGCACCCAGGACCCTGTCTCCTGCCTCACAAGCCCTGACCCCACACATTCCCAGCAGCAAGACCAGCGACAGCACCCTCCATGGTGCAGCCAGTCATCAAGCGAAGGAATACCCACAGTGAGCAGGACAGGCAGGAGGATCGGGGCCTGTTGGCAGCCTTGCAAGAGCCTGAAGGAGGAAAAGAAAGGAATAAATTCTCTGCCACATAGAAGCGAGTGTCCACTGTTGGCAAGAGCATGCCAGCCTGGGAGAAAGTGAGCTCCCCGGCCTCCCCAGCTCCCCATCCCTTTTGCTCCCAGCCTTCCAGCCCATGGCACAAGATTCACTTTTCCTTCATTCTGTCTGGTCCTCACAGCCATTCCTCCTGCCTCTCTGCTTCCTGAGCCTTCCCTGAGCCAGTCCAGCCCCTAGCCTCATTCTTCCCTTCTGAGTAGGCTTTCATTTCATTTCTTTTCATTTACATTTCATTTACATTTACATTTACATTTCATTTCATTTCATTTCCCTATTTATTTTTAATCCTAAGGCAGTTTTACTTCATTCCAGAGTCCAGTGCCCAGGGATGACGAAAGCAGTGATGCCGATGTGCTTTATGGCAAAGTAGTCACTGGGCTGAAGTCTCTCTCTCTGTCTCTCTCCCTCAGAACTGCCTGGGAGATTTCTGCCTCAAATACTGATTGCCTTTTGTAGGAAAAGACGTATTTACTATCAACATCCAAAGACATCCCATTAGAATCAAATCAGCAGCTGCATCATTTCCTTAGGGACTGTCTTACTGCCTTAGCATAATGTGATGGGAGAAGCACAGTCACCATCAGAGCTGAGATGGCTGATGACAGCCATGCTGGAACAGAAAGACCTTTCCAGGAGTTCAGAGCCAGGGCATAGAAGGCAAGGAAGGGAAAAGGAGGCCTACTATGGCCTAACAGGATCACGGGAGGATTTGGGCTCTCCCATCTGCAGGGCTTCCCCTCTGAGTCGGGCAGGAGTGAGCTTGTCCATTCATGGCCATCTGGAATTTAAAGGACTAGGTATATTGCTCATTTTGGACCCCCCCTATCTTCCTCTTCTGCCCAAAGATCAAATCCCTTCCTGCTCAGAAGCAACATTGTTTCCTCTGAGAACATCACCTGGGGCCTTTTGCCACAGCCCTTTAGCCACTGGATTGATGCTAGGGCGCACAGAGCAGGAGCAGGGCTGCCTGGCACATGTGTGAGTCTCTATTCTGGGGGCACTTCTCCAGCTGGCATGCACAGCTGCTCCCCTGGTCCAGGTGAGTGCTGCCCCTGTGGAAGAGAGACTCCAGAGAGGCTGATGCACTTATCTGCAGAAGAGCACAAAGGGAGGAAAAAAGGGTAGCACCCACAGGAACCATGAGCAGCAGGACACCAGCCAAGACTGACAATGCTTCAAGTGTTTTGGCAAGAAGGGCTGCTTTGGTACCAAGGTTCCCCTGGCTCAGCCTGGAATAACAGCCATGTTATGGCTAAAACTTATGGAAACCATCCATGGAAATCCTTCCAAGTGGTGGAGAGACCTGAAGGCCAAGTCATCTCTCCCACACCACCCAAAGCCCAGGTGAGGTGGCTGGGCACAGGGCTACGATTGAAGGCCACCGGGCCAGCCGCAGGGTCACTCAGTTGGCCAGGGGTGCAGGGTGAAAATCTATTCCATAGCAGCTCTCAGATCTGCAGCAGTTCAGAAGGATTTACCCCATGCGGCCATACAGCTTCTCTACATGAGTTTCAGGGGAGGTAGGACAGGCAAAAACCAGTCTTCCATAGGGCCATGGGATCCCTTGGGGACAAGAGCAGTGCAAGGCCATAGGTTCTCATTAGCCAGAGCTGCTGGGGGGCAGCTGGCATTGCCTAGAAGTGCAGTCAGTTGAATTCGTGACTTGGGCGATGAGCAGGACTCCTCCTGCTCCACAGGAGTCCTCCGTCCACAGAGTCAAATTAGCTGGAAAGAGGGAGTGGGAGTCTCTGCACCAGAGCAGAGAGAAAAGCCCAGGCAGGGCTCACCTATTGTCTGTGAGCTTCTGCTTTAAAAAGACCCATCCTTTGCCAGCCTGCTGGGAGTGACAGGGTTAGATGGAGACTTTTTAATCATGTTTTCAAACCCACCAAGCTATAGGATAAATTGTACTTCTTCTAATTTTTTTTTTCATTTCCAAGTAATTATTAAAAACCCTATCTGCTTTCCAGCATGAATGCATTTTTCTCTGTCTGAGCAAGGAAAACAAGCCAGTCAATTCCTATCTTCCTTCAGTGTTTGCTGACTCTGCTCCCCTTGTCAGCTCAGTCCTAGCTGCTTTTGCTTACCAGATTGCATGCAGGACAACAGGTTCCTCAGGAAGATTAGAGTCAAATCTGCAGCAGAACACAGAGAAGAACCTAGGAGTCCTGTCTACCAGTCGGATTATCCTAATACTGGAAGATGGCTTTTCTGCACATAACCCTGCACTCCCAGTTCCCAGAGCAGCACCTTCAGCTTATCCAAGGAGCAACTGTTCAGCTACATGTACACATTTTGGGGCTCTGGATATTCCAAAAGTAGCCTAGGACCCCAGTTCTCAGGTTTTTTTATACCCATAGAATGCTTCAGTGTTTGCTAGTTGCCTTCAAGCTACACTTAAACTAAAAATAAAAGAAAATATGTAACTAAACTAAAAGGTAAAAGGAAATAAGAATTAGTTTATACACTACACAATTTCAAATAGGTTTTAAGTATGAAAAAAACAACCAATAGCTCATTGATTTCCTTGAAAGCAGCTCCAAAAGTTTGTCTTTTTTCCCTGTATAAGCCAGTGCAGATGAGGATCCCTCCAGTCCAAGTGGGATGGGGTCAGTGCACCCATGAAACCTTCAATGTGGATCTCCCCTCCCTTGAAGGTATGAGTCCTCTGGCATTGGCACTGACAGAGAGTACACCATCAGTGTCTGGCCGTCCCCCTCCACTGTCCCACAGGGATGCCTATACCCACTGAATGGACTGTTGATGACCAGCCTCTCACTGTAGCAGAGGGGGATCATAGCAGGGAATGGCGAGTCAGGCTTGGAGGGGGTCACAATCCACTCAGAAGTGATGCAGCAAGGCAGGAAAGATCAAATAAACAGCTTCTCAGGTCGGGCTCTGAGTGCTCAGAAACACTTCTTCCTTTCATCATAGGTACTGACACATTTTTCTCTGGAGTAAAGCACGTCACAAAGCCAGATGCTTGTTGGAGGGGAGACATTTGCCATCATATTGCATTAACACAGCTCTATGCAACACACACAGCAGAGCTGCCAGTCACCTTCTGAGATCCAGTAACCACAGAAACAAAAAACATAATGTACAAGACCAGATGCCCAGCTCCTCATTTCCCTTGGTTCAGGCAAGGCCTGCATGCAGTGTTTCACAGCAGGTTTTTCTCCAGCCCCCTGAGCAAATGGGACAGGAGTGGTAATTTGCTGGCAGTACCCCTGCTAGCCCTTGTTATGCTGGCTGGGGAAGGGACTCTATTAAATAAACATGTTCAGAGCCCATAAAAATAGATGCAGCATCCTATGTAAGCAGCTTGTGGTAGAGCTGGAAGGAATGAATCCTTCCCCATCTCCTCTCCTTCTGCATCCTCTGTTCACTGTTCTCCAGTGCTTGGTTCTCATGCCCCTTCTTCTCCCTTCCTCCTATGTGATCTCTCTCCCATCCCTTAACCTTGAGGATATTTGCTTTTAGAGCTGGGACAGCCCTTGCAGGGGATCCTCTCCCAATGAGGAGTGGGCTCCCAGAGAGCATCAGTGACAGCTTCTTGGCATGCTCTGAGCATCTCTCCTCTTCCTCCAGGTGCAGAGCAGTTTCTGGGGAAGCAGGGTCAGCACTTATGCAAAGACTCTGCCACACAATGCTCTAGAAAACACCGGGACCATGAAGGGCTTGGGAGATAACAGAAGCCGCCACCTCTCCGATAACCTGGACTCCCCTCAGGACTCTCTTTATGCCCCCCAGGACAGGAACCCTTATCTCCTCAGCCCCACTGACTCCTACACCATGGACCCCCGGTTCCCAGCCCAGAATACCCTCCATGGCGACTGCCTGCTTCCACTCAACAACCAGATCTCCAACAGCAGCACTTTCCCCCGTATCCATTACAACTCTCACTTTGAGGTCCCAGATGAGAACCCTTTTCCAAGCCATGCCCAAGCCACTAAGATTAACCGCCTGCCTGCAAACCTCCTTGACCAGTTTGAGAAGCAGCTGCCCATCCACAGAGATGGCTTCAGCACCCTCCAGTTTCAGAGGAGCGATGCAAAGCACCGGAGTGAGAGCCCAGGGCGGATTCGACACCTTGTCCACTCTGTCCAGAAGCTATTTGCCAAATCTCAGTCTCTGGAGGGCCCCACCAAAGGCAATGTGAATGGAAAAAAAGGGGCTGATGACCCCAAGCAGAACCGGAGGAGCAAGAGCAAAGACCGGGCAAAGACCTCTGAGCCCAAGCGCAGAACAAGATCCAACATATCAGGCTGGTGGAGTTCAGATGACAACTTAGACAGTGATACCTGCAGTTACCGCAACCCGATGGGCCTCATGACACTGGGCCGGCAGCCAGACCACAGCCAGCCAAAGTACTTCATGCATGCTTATAACACCATCAGTGAGCACATGCTGAAATCCTCCAAGAGCAATAACGACCTCAAGATCACCCCTTGCACCAATATCCCCATCAACAATGAGTCCAACTACATTAAGAGGGGTTCCTGGTCTACACTGACACTCAGCCATGCCCGGGAAATGTGCCAGAAGGCCTCAGCCACGATTGACAAAGCCTTGCTGAAATCCAAGTCCTGCCATCAAGACTTGGCCTACCACTACCTGCAGGTGGGTGCAGCAGGGGGTTAATGGCTTTCTCCATGCAGGGAGAATGTAGGCCTGGGAGGAGGTGGGGGATACCCTCCTGGCGGGCAGGTGATAGGCCTTATCAAACAGCTCACCTGCTCCAGATGTTTCAGCTGTCACCTCAAGTCATCCCAGTTCCCACTCAGCACAGCCCAAGCTGCCCCATAACCCCCAGAGGCACATTGCCAAGAGAGAGCTGGGGAGGATGGGGAGATGTTCAATTCTGCCAAGGCCCCAGCTATGCAGAGGGACAGAGTGTCATGCCTCCTGTGGGGACACTGGCATTGGCACTGACAGAGTCCAGCTCCCCCAGCTGCAGCACTGCTCCAGGGTCCCCTCCCAGCCTCTATGCTTGGCCATGGAAGCGTGAGCAGGAGACGCTTTTCCCAGAGCAAGGGCTACCTACTGGGGTCCCACATCCCCCACGGCACCATGGCCTCAGCACCCTCTGTTGTGACACCCATTCACTGGGTGAGTCCCATGCCCTAAGAACACACTCACTGCCCACCCAGATCCTGCAGATACCAAGGACCAGCTCTTAGGCTGCCTGACTCCTGCCTGTGCATAGCCATTTCTGCGCTCCACTTGGGCAGTTACATATACCAAGGGGCTGTGGCTCTTGTCCCACCCCAACAGGAAGGCTCCCTGGCCTCCAGCCAGGCACTGCAGCGATCCCGTTGTTCAAAGGACACCAATAATAACGGATGCTTAATCCCTTATATCCATGCGTCGTAAGGATGTGTCAGCGTGCCCAGTAAGCCCTGCTCTGCACAGCTTCCCAGGAGTGCTGGTAGGAACAGCAGCTCAGCAGGGCATGGCTCCATTTGCTGGCTCATACCACATGCAGGGAAGGGGCTGTGGGGTGAGGAGAGCAACATCAGCCTCCCAGCTTGCATGGCAGAGGCCTGCATGGCTAATGCTGGGGCCACAGGTTTAAATCCCCTGTCCTGATAGCACCAGGTCACTTCGGAGCCTGGTGGTTTCAGAAAATATCACTTGAAGAACATAAACCTGGTTATGCCCTAGAGAGAGGAATGAAGATAAATAAGCCAGGCCTGGATGGGGGGAGGCAGAGGAGTGAATAATCAGATGGACTATGTATGTAAATTTCAAGCATCTTTTGTTAATGCAAATGTCACTCGTTCCCCTGGCTGTGGTCAGAGGGCTTGGAGGCTTTAAAGAGCAATGAATTATTGAAGCATACTCTGCTTCCAATATCTTGCTGGCCCTTTCTGCAAATCAAATTATGGAGGGACTTACTGCATCAGGAATGTCATCAGAAAAAGGTTCTTGGCCTGGTTTCTTTTTCTTTGCCCTCCTTTCAGCTAAGTTAGGAGATTTAAAAGGTGGAGACAAAATCTCCATCAGCACCATTCCCACTCTGTGTGTGATGGCAGACAGCCCAGCACAGGTAGCCCCGAGCAGTATGACCCCCTGCAGCCCCTTGCCCAGTGCTCACATACCTCCTGGGATTCGACCAGACCCAGGGGTATGAGACTGCCCTGCTCATTTATTCCCAACCCATGTAATGAGCCTCCATTTCTTGACAGCCTGACCGTGGGCTGTGGGCACAGCTGGGTAGCGTGAGCCCGGCCAGCAGCTGGGCAGCCCCACCATTCGGCTGGGAGGAAACGGGTGCCGCCCTGCTGCAGCCGAGCGAGCTCCCGCCGAGGGGGGGACAGCCTCTC